GAAAAAAAAAATGGAAATGGCTAATAAGTTATGCACAATCTAATCTTTTACGAAAGTGAGTTATAAATAAGTTTCCGTTATAATAACCTATCCTAATAAAAAAAATGTCTGCACTTAATTATGTCGATAGCCATCTTAAGAGTCGACACGTGTTGTCTACGAATTGTGTATGCAAAATTTTCCATTGGTCGAAACGATGGACGTGGAACGAAACCCATTCCATTGAACCATCATTATGTATTCTATCTATTTTGGTTTGGATCTTCTCTTCTGTGGGCGTGCAAGGTGCATATTGTCTATTAATCGAATTAGCATGGAAGATCGAGAGTTCTTTTTATATTTCGAAGAGGCTGCTGCTTCTGCTTGCTGCGCCTTTCGGTTTGGGTTTGTGGCCCGAAACTAGGGTAAGCATAGCCGGGTTCGGCACGTGGACCGCTTGCTTACACGTGCTTCGTTTCGGGGTTCAACGTCCTGAGGTCCACGGCTCCGTTCCCCCTTGCCCAAAAAGGCAGATCAATACTGCCAAAAAATATTTAGTTGCCTGCCCCACGCAGTAACACCCCTGCTGTTGGCAGTAACAACATCTTCTTGCACTAACTCAAGAGTCAGACAATGGATCCATCCTTCCTTCCTGCCATCCTCTCCGCTCTGCTGTACCAACGAAACCTGACCCCAGAATCATCGAGCGCTATCCTTCCAGCAGTACACACGCTGCAGGAAAGCCCGAAAGAATTTCGACGCTTTTTTAGAATTCAGGATGTACAGCAGCATTCTGTCCGAAGAATGCTTAAACGGCCGACGATGGTAATGACCCCAACCATTTTCTCGTTACACACGTAAACAATTCCGCCGAACAATTTAATAATTTATTTTTATACATCCCAAAATCCCTTCGAATACAAGAGCATATCTAATTTTAAGACAATTCAATTCCTATACTTCTATTCTTCACACGACAAGAATGTTAAATGTTAAAAATACTTCACACAAACCCACAGCTTCCTTATTGTCTTTAGAACATTTACAAACATATTATCTAAGCGCTTTAAGTATTCTTAACATAATAGGAACTCAGTAATTTTGAACTACAGTAAATTTCTGTCAAGAAAGAAACAACATTGTGTATTGGCTAGCAAGGATCATCTATATATACATACAATGTTAAAATTATCACCAATGAAAAAAAGATAGAGTTTTGAAACTGCATTTAAACATTTTTTTTATGTTGATTATTATTACGTTTCTAAACTATAAAATATTTCTTTTTATGATTAAACTATAAGTAGTGAAAGTAAATAGAAACAATATCAATAAAATTAATTCGATTTGTTTTTTTATCCAAACTGTTTGATGTATATTTAAAAAGCAAATACTAAAATTATCAATAATTTTATGAAAAAAAATTGCTGTAATTGTATACCTTTCAATTTATTTTGTTGAAATTTAACATTGCATTTGAATGTTTAAAATATTTCTTGTTGACATAACATTTATTTAACGTTTCTAGGATAACTTCTATATATAAAGGCTACAAGAAATCGAGATGATGGTTGACTGAAAATGGCGACGACCTACAAAATTACATAACAATTCGACTAAGATATTTTTATCCTTGCCCAACAACTTGGTCGAAACGAGTTGTTCTCGACGTTAAGAAATATATTCATATTTCTTTACACGGTCTCATTTTACACGAATATGAAATAAGTTTAAATGATTTAGTGTTTTTTTTTAATTCTGATTAAAAATGCATTGTGTTTCCATTAGTAATGAAGGAGTGTTGAAATTAAATATTAGATAAAGGATAGGGTGAAACTTGTTTTTACCCTAATACTCCTTAGTGAGCAATTCACCCCAACCATCAAACATGCTATTCCCATACAAACAAAATTTCACGTGTCATATTTTTTTTTGATCGATGAAAGCAAGTTCACAATATTTAATAATATTTAGCAAAGGCCGTAAATACATCTAAGACATGACTCTATAAATTAAGTAGCATTGACCAATTGCAGTCACGCAATTTATTCAGCACTTCGCACATTTCAAAATACAACCAGATTGAAACTTGTTTTATTTTTCGTTGCAAAACCATGTCATGATTGTTTCTTTCTCTCGACTGATTTCGGCTGCGCGTGTTAATTATTTCATTACCACAGAAAACAATGGGCATAACGTTGTTTATATCTTGAAAAGAAAGAAGAAAAAACAGAGAGTCTAGATATGAGATTGATAGTGATAGAGTGATTTGAAAGAGAGAGCGCACGTAGACGTAGTTTCCTGTCGTAACTAGCATTTAAATCACTTCATGAACGCGCTCCGAACTGCCTAATCTTCGAGCCTAGGTATTGTCAAGGTTCGGTTCGAACACTTTTCATTTCCCATGCACTTTAATTATAAAGCACTTGATTTTATAGTACTTTATAAATGAAACTTGTGCTGCTATTGTTGAGACGACTTTTAGAATGCTCTGCGCGGTTCCTTCGTTTCGAATTTCGGAGAAAGCCATATTTGAACCTGCATTGCTGTAAGTTACGTTGAACTGAAAGCCCGTTATGCGACTGGATACACATTGAATATGTGCTTAAAATACGCAGTACCGGAAATATGTAAATGGTTTTTTATATACAATTTCACCCAAAAAACATGTTATTATAACGGCAGCTATTATTTTTAAATAATTATTGCTTTCGTGTTTTTAATTTTTGTTTTCAAATATCAGGGAAACATGTAATCAAGGACGGGGGGTTGCTATGGATTTCTCACATTGGTTATGGCGCCGTTCAGTTGCTTCGTGACTGCTAAGGATGCGTCAGGGTTGCTATGGGAATCTTCCAGTTGCTATGGAAGCTACAGAATCTTGTACTTTCACAATTTAAATAAGGAGGATTTGAATATTGGTAATTAAATCAAATAATCAACAATCAACGTTTTGTATGACTTGTACGCATTAATTTTTATATTAAAACAACAATAATTTTCTTATTATAACTTAAATTTTGTTAAAATCTTTGACAGATTGTAAATATATATATATATATAATAAATACAAATACATGCAATATACAATACAATTAATAAGAAAAAATATAATTTAAAAAAATAACTACGTAGAAAAACGATGTGATGATAAAGTTAATGTTAATAGACTGATGTATGTTAACAAAGGGGAAGAATGATTTAACTACTATGGTATAATAGAGTGTAGTACGCATTGACACTCACGCATCTATTTGGATGTGTTTGAGGATGGTTACGCAATGCATAGTTTAAGTGGTCAATGTACTGGGCAGACATCCTCTTTTAGTGTTTCCTCGTTGAAATAAATGCGTACGTATATATAAAAACGCCCAAAAGTTCATTTATATATTTTGTGTATGTATATATATATAGTGAGCAAGTGCGGAGGAAGGAGTAGAAGTAGCAGGCAGCAATGAAAGCTTGCTAGCTGGCTTTGAGTCGGGCTGCACGTGGACCGCGGTCCTCGACCCAACGACCTACAAACGCAACGCATCACACGCACTTTACTATCACGCATCGTACTTGGCTTGCTCCTCCCATCGCTCAATACCATTCTTGTTGTTTACTGCTCCAGGAAATAACATTGTGGGCCCCAATTAAATACAGACGGAGAGGGCTGTTGGGCCTATTTATATATTGACCGGGGTTCTTGCGCTTGCACCGATTCCCTTTCTTCCTGCCTTACGAGGGGCCTCCAGGAACCACCGAAAAAGGCAACCTCAGCCAGAAAGCACCGACAAGGCCTATCATCAACATCATCATCACCATCCAAGCGAACCACTTCTCACTTTCATTTTTTTACAGCTCCAACCGCAACTTTCTTTTAATGGCAACGCGATGATAAATTTGCGGTAGGCTTAGACAATTACCTAACGCTCCGCTTTTATGACTTAATGGAACGGAACTTTATTTTCAGAAGCGCAACTCGTTTATACCTATTTGATATTCTCGCCGTGTTTGTTCCTCTCGAGTATATTTCGTAATAAATTTACATACACACTCCAGACGACGACTTTACATAATGTTTAAGTAAGCCATTAACAATATTCCATCGGAAAGAGAGACAATCATATTTTTTTTACTACTGACGCAATTTTATCTTCAAAAACTATAGAAGAAAAACGAAAATACTATCATTTGCACTCGAAGTGAATGGAACAACGTCGGCTATTTAATCTGATTGATGTGTTTGAGGTAAAAGTGCTCTCGAGGAACGGGCGGGTTATTAAAAGAGATATGCGTAAGAAAGTTGTGCCAGTTGGTTCGTCAGCTTCAAGGCGAGCGAGCCCTTATATAAGATCACGGCGCTCGAATGCATATAATGCACGTTGAGAATTAGAAGCATCCGAAATAAAAGTCGTTGTCCTTGTATCTGGACACCAGTGAAAGCATGCATTATAAGCCTAATACAACATTTTGGGAGAGGAGTCATTCAATGATTCACATGCACACATCTTGCTAGCTTTTTATCCACGTACGCACAGCGCCACCAAAATTGTTCTAAGTTATCTTTGTGACGATCATCTTCACGTAGTCTTATCAAAAATATAGATACGAAGCTGTTACATGTCGTGTCCAAGTTTCTGGAAAACCTTCTTCTATTCACAACTTTAAAAAAATATATTTCTCTCAGCATTTAAAACAATTCTCTTTAAAACTAATTTCTATAAATGAATGGTAAATTACGTTAAAAATGCTTTTAATTTATCTTATATTAAAAATTTAATATTCTTATAGATTTAATTTTTTGTAAATAAAAAAACTTTTTATATTGATAAATCTCATAGGCAACACGATCAACTTTAAATAATAAAGTATATAACATCCTGCGCCATCTACAAACCAATAACTGGTTTGTTACATTTATCCTAACAGTTTTCTCCATTCTTTTGTACATGAATAAATACTTTTATAAAGTGAATACGCAGAAAAATATGATATTTTCACTATCTTTAAATTAATACACAATTTTATACATTTTTTTTAAATACACTCATACACACTTCTTAGGATATTTTTCATATGGTCTCTATTTTATTTACAATATTTTCAGTGTGGACAAAAATTGGAATATGTAGGAATGTTTGTTAAATGTAATTAATGAATACAACCAATTTAGTATTATGTTTTTTTTTATCTTTTAAAGAAAAAGCATCCATTATGGAGATGTGTAATCATGTTTTGTTTGCTGTGCACAAGTTAAATTTAAAACTTTAAGTTAATTTCCAATTAAAGCTTTTAAATATACTATAAATAAACTTAAAGAAATACTTGTCTTTGCTTAACATTATATGATAATTATACAATTTTAAAATTTTAACATCAACATATAAAATAATGAACGTACAATTAAATAAACGAACTAAATTACAGCCACTGTTTGGTAGGTCGACTTGGAGTTTTGATTCTAGAAATGCCACTAATCATAGTATCTGCTTTTCCTAGCTTGCTCAAATTCGGTTTGGTCAGCATAGAGATTTTATTCGTGGGACGTGGCGTGTCTTCCTTCTTACAGACAAGTTTCGATGTAGGAGTTCCCAAACTCTGTAGCAATTCAAGTAATTTTCTAAATGCGCATAAATTACTCATAAACTTACCCTTGCTTTTGGAAATGCCAAACGGGACGGGGGAGGCATCTTCTTCTTGTCCATAGTGGTGGTTCCGTTCGATTTATTTATAACAGAGGACAATTTCTTTGGCGTCAACTTTAATGTCGGAGTGCTATTCATTTTAATGTAAGAACCCGTCAAGGGCACAGGTTTGTCCACTACTGGACTTGATTTCTTAATATCAGATATTCTCTTTTTTGGTAGTTTTTTTGTATACGTATGGTTCTTCTGGTAAATGTCAACTGATTCTTGCGCTAATTTGCTAATGGATATCAAATTGCTAAGGAGTTTGCTTTCCGAATCGGATGAAAGCGATAAGTGCCCCGAAGAATTCGACAGACTGCCTAGAGGACTGGACGTGCTCTTCGGAGGTGAAGTGTTCGGGTCGAACTCCCAATTATTAGGTTTTAAGCAATCCATCGTATATCTGCGTGTAATTACAGGTTGTGATATTTCGTCAAAGTCATTAATAACTACTACTGTGGGAATCAATAGCTTTTTTAGTTTCTCTATTAGATCTATATTTATCATGGATTTCTCCTAAAAACAGAAATTATCAATAAGAATGCATCTGATAATAAAAATGATACACACAATCGTTGTAGTGACGTTGGAGATTTTTTCAGGTGACCCCTTGCTGATCTCCAATTTTGGTTTGACTAATGTCGTGTGCGTACCAGATGCACATGATATCTTTATTGTCAGATCGGTCGAGTCATTCAAGTCGCTATTTTCTAAATTTTCCTCTGTTACAGAGAATCCAAATAGTTTCAAAATCGATATTAATTCTAGTGTATTCAGATTGAAATTCTACAACAAATTAACGTTTTTGTTTTAAACTTTTTACGTATTTTATTCGTTTTACACTTACTTCATTCGGTTTAATGTTGTCCTCAGTCATTGTGAATTTGAAATTTCTTGTGTAAATGGAGCAACCAATAAAAAAGCAGAACTTGTGCAGTTGAAATGACACGAAGAACTAAAATTTAATTCCAATACCATCCAAAAACGCATACAATAGTATAATATGAAACGCTGTTTTTTTTTTCAAAGTGCAAATAAAATTCTCTTTTTCATATAAAATGATTCGAATTATTTGCGTATATCCATTTTCTACATTCCGATAAAAAACGGAATCTTTTTAACAATCTTAAAGTAGAGCAATGTGTGTCACGGATATTTTCAAACTAGGTACTAATAAATATTATATAAAAAAACTATCCATGCATATTTGAAAAATCTATTTTTATTTATAAAATATTTTCCATATAATTAATTAGTAGCAAATTTCGAATATTGTAATCATCTTCTAAACTAAAATCAACAGATTATATCAACTAAATTAAACTTGTGTATCTTAAATAAACGGGCTTTCAACTGTCTTTAATATACATTATTAATAGATGAGATATAACTGATCATTAATAACTTTACAAGTTATGTATATATATAATAAACCTTTGTTGTATTATTATATACAAATTAAGCAAAAAAAAGTAATATAAATAATGTTTTCTCTCCATTAACTTGTTACGATTTGTAGATAATAAAATTAGCTATGTTACAAAATTTACAACGTTTCACTTTCCATCTCAACTTTGATTTATTTTCGCAATATTTTTTTTATGATCTATTTACAGTGATATTTTTCAGTTTCATATTGAATAATATAAAATAAAAATTGAAACAATTAAAACACAAGCTGCAAGTAGTTGCACATTCGCCCACGCACGAAATAAAAAAATTCCGTCAATTTATAAACCTCAGGTACATTTTTCGTATAAATATAAAAAAAGGAGTGATGCGATAAAATTATATATATATATATGTATAAATGGGAAAAAAAGTAAAGAAAAGCGCTTGATATACAATAGACGACGTTTAGAACGTACGATTCCATCTGGTAGGTAATGGTAAAATAAAAGGATGTTGTGGTTTAGTACTACCATAATAAATATCTGTTTCCCCGCTCACTGCCTGCAGTGAAAAGCAAAAATACAGAATTATTAATGTAGTAATACTTCCTTCGAATCTGAAGTAGAGCCTTGCCGCGTAGGGCTCAATAGTTCCTGTCTGTCCCTTTCTCTTTCCCTGCCTGGCCTAAAAGCTTCCAATAGTGATTCTACTCTTTCCTCTGTGGGCCCCCATCTTTGGTTACCTGCTGCGTTTTGTAACCAGAATATAACTGTTCCGTGTCCAACTCTGGTATTCAGTTGAGATCTGCAGGAACGAAAAAAAAAATTAAAATGTTGTCAATGTATTGTAGAAAAGACATTTACTTTGTGAGTACGTGCTGGAAACCATGCCTGAATTCATGTTCATAGGCTGGTACAGTTACTTGCTTCTTCTTAAATTGACTCGATTCTAAATGCATTAAAGCTATCGGCGTTGGATCTCGGTAATCCGGCATTAAAATAACAAAACTTAATGGTTCTAAGCTATCGGTTAATAATTTTTCTATGTGATCGACAGCTGATTCCATAAGTTCTTCGCAGTAAGGAGGATGCACTTCGAACGAGCCTGATACAGCCTTCAATTGTAAAAACGGCCTAAAGTAAAATATATTAGATTATGTGCGTCATGTTTTTTCTTTTTTTAATATTATGTACCCTCGACTTCCAAAGTATGAGTCGCAGTCTGAAAAGGCAGAACAATATTGTCGGAAATAGCAATTCAGTGGCGATGCAAAGCACTCGAAAGTAACACCAAACATTTTTTGCAGACATTCAAACACCGTTACAGGCAGAGACGCTTGGGTATCTTGTACATCGGAGTTGGTCGTTGGTTGCAATGGATTAATACCAAAGTACGTTGCATATCTTTTCAACAAGACCCAAACCCTAGGTATGAAAAGTTCAAATTTTCGATCATCGAAACAACTGTGTCGATAAAGGTGTTCCTGCAAAGCAATACACGTACAGATAACGGCAAATTTGGATAACGACTTTGGTTATTACCAATTTTTGTAGATGTGTACTGTTTACCGCCAAAGTTTCTCCCTGAAACCTGAGCAGTGCTTGATCTCTATCTGATACATATTCAACAACTGGCAGTCTGGGACATGGTATGGCGAATTGCACTGGATAACACCATACCTTTCTTGTGCTTGCATTAATCACTGAACTTCCAGGTGGGGGCAGTTCCATCCCATGCTCTTTCAAAATTACATTAGATTTTTCTTTTACTTTTTTAGCATACTCTGCTGATAAATTGTATATTTTCATACAGATTCCCTCAACTGATGATTGAACCTATAATTTGAAAATTTAAAAAAACTGTAGCATATTTTATCATTAAATAGTAAGTCAACATTATATAATTTAGTGATATACCTCCAAAATTAATATTAATAAATTAAATTACACTTACTGTGGAGGTAAGATGAGGTTGACATTGTTGTTTTAAATGACCCAGCCTATCTTGATAATCATCATAGGTTGCTCCAACAGTTCTCCTTAGCCATTGAAAAGTTTCATCCACATTCCATTTAACAATTTTCCTGCTCTCCCCTTCAGCATTACGAGATTCCATAATTTTTTTAGCAGCCTCAGCATACCGAGATAATTGTTTCCTAGCATCCCCAGTGAATTTGGGCCTGACAAGCTTTATAGGTATATCATTCATAATTTCTTTGTACATGGCCATTGAGATTTCTGGATAGCAGTTGCTTGGCAAGAGAGGATCACAACCATTATCAATAACTTTACGTTCCATTAACCATCGGTTGAATGAGTCTTTGGGTGCATCTATTGATTCCCTAGAGTGGCACAATTCTTGATAACACTGCCTGAGCTTCATTAAGAGACTGCATCTAAATATCTCAACTTCAGGATGAGAATGCATATTGGGGTATAGTTGTCGCTCAAATATTACAATATTTGTGGGAATATCAAGATCCCATGGGCCTGCTAATATAAATTTCTTTGCTTGAGGACCAACAATTTCATCTGAAGGTCTTCTTTTAGCTACTGTAGCTGTGGGTACAGGTGCTGCTGCTGGTGGTGGAGGCACATGCTGTATTCCAAGTGGATCCGTCAAAGGATCAAATTGAGGCTTTAACACTGGCATTTCCCATAAGCTTTCTCCTGATAGTTTGTTCCAAAAGTAAGGTCTATTCTCACGTTTGGACCAGAACTTGCGCCATCCTATCTGTGATAGTTCAATTGGGAGATCATATTCGATGGTATTCATGTTGATTGGTGTCCCTTGGGGGGTTGTTGGAATGGTGATGTGTCCATGGGGATTGGGATTAGGGCTCAGATTTACCGGATCCATTGGGGGCCACATGTTTCGGCCATCGGAGCCCTTCAGGTCGTGGTCATCGTTCATTGTTTATATTCTTGTATTGGCTTTGCCTCCTTTTTTACACAAACGATTAAATGGTCGGACGATGCTTGTTATCGACGAGGTCGTATTGCAGATATCAATTACATTGAGCTTCGCTGCATTCAATTAATCGTATAAGAATATGATTGTTTGTTTACTTTTAAATACGTACGCGTAACTCATTCATCTTTTACGCAGGAAAATTACGTACACCTCCGCCTAGACGCCATTTGCTGACTGAACAAAACTAAAGCAAGCGCAAGAGACCCATTCGTTTGGGTCACGTGACCTACTTTGTTTGTGTACATAGCCCCTCTATAATATGAAAATACAAACTACTTTAAAACTTATAAACTATTAATGATCTCACAAAAATTGTAATTCTAACGACCTATAATTCATCAATAAAAATATTAATATTTCCATTACACTTTTCGTCATTATTGAAGTAATATTCAAATCAATTTGCATTATGTATGATGTTATGCATATTTTGGTCTTTTACAATTACAAAAAATGTACTGATTTTATATTTTTATTATTAGAAAAAAAAACTAATATTCTATTTCTAAATTGAATAATTATAATATATTCTTATGTTGGCTATAAATAGTTCTAAGTATAGATACAATTTTGTATTAGTTAAGTTGGTCAACCTGAAAATTGTAAACATAGGTTTCTGTTTTGTTGATCTCTGTATCAGCTGAGTATTGCTTTCTGCTTATAGCAGCAAGCAAGTCACTGTTAGTTTTTAAAGTTTCTAAGCGAAATTTAATATTCAAAATGAATCAAATGGTTAAAGACGAAGTGCAGCAAAATGGAGATGATCAACCATTAACTGTGGGCCAACCTTTGAGTGAATTCTTAATGCAGTTAGAAGACTATACACCAACAGTAAGTTTTAGACCAAATAGTTTTTAATTATTGTTTAAATAAGTAACAATTAAAGCTTGCTAAATAATGTATTTACTTGTTATATACAGTTACATGCTAAAATAATTAGTTTTACATTATTTGTTAGTTAATAAGTCTTTAATATATATTTTTTTTAGATCCCTGATGCTGTTACAGCCCATTACTTGAATACAGCTGGGTTTGAGCCAAAAGATCCAAGATTGTTAAGACTTATCTCTATTGCAGCTCAGAAATTTATTTCTGACATTGCAAATGATGCTTTGCAACACTGCAAGATGCGTTCCAGCAATTCCTCAAGTAGCCATAATAACTCAAAGGTAATTTATTTAAAAAAGACAAACATGATTAATACATTAAATAAATATTATTTTTAGAATTCCAAGGGAACTAAGGATAGAAGATATTGTTTAACAATGGAAGATTTGACACCGGCTTTGGCTGAATTTGGTATAACTGTGAAGAAACCTCAATATTTTGTTTAAATATGTGATCAGAGATACAAGTGCTCAGATACCTCTAGCATATTTATATCTTGAACTGTTGGTATAGCGTTTTCAATAAAGTCATTTTCTTCTATTTGGTCAAATATTTTCTTTTCACATTTACAAGGATTCTTGCAGATGCATTTAAACTGACCTTGCTCAGGGTGGGCATTTCTCTTACTTTTTTTTGTTATTGATGCAGAATCCATGATTGTTCTTTCATCATTCAAATTTGGTGTAATGTATAATCCAAAACTTGGGTATACTATAAATGCAAATGTTGCTAACCCTGATAAAAGGAATATTGGAATTGTTACAGCCCAATATCTGTTTGGTAAGTATGTAATGCCTATGGAAATAAAGTATTCATCTGGAATCATGGCCCATAATGTATATAAGAAGAATAATGCTCTCAATATTAAATGTAATGCAAAGCCATAAACGGCTCTGCTCTGTGTTGGTGCAGGTGTGTGTTCAGGCATTTTTAAAAGTGTGTATATTCTTCAGATGTAGGTTCTCCAATAAAATCAATGGTTTCAACAATTAAATTGAGGCTTTCAAAGAAACTGTTCACTGCAACTCTTGATTGTCTAGCCAATGAACTCACAAATTTACTGCAAATGAGAAAAATATTAAAAATAAGTTTTTTCTTTTCATATCATTACTTACACTTTTAGAATGTTTTCTGAAACGCTTAGTTCTTTCTTTACACCACTGCGTTTGGGTTCCTGATCAACTTTCAATACATCATAAACAATTTGAGCCAATCTATTTGTCGGGAAAGGGATTTCTAATTTTCTGTAATAAACAATATTTTTATAATACATTAATAAAAAATAAAAGTTTGCATCCATACACATTTATTGAATCATTTGCCATACTAGTAACATATGCTTTACACAAATTAAACCTAGTACTAAATAACAAATTTACCGAGATATTTCTAACGAAAAAAGTATTTATAGGTTATGCAAATTTTGTATTGACAACCTGAAGTCACTATTTATTGAAGATAGCAACCCATCATACAATGAAGTACGTATGGTTATCTATAATTGATTTATATATATATATATCTTCTTAATTATATAGCATATAAAAGATAAAACCAATTATGATCTATTGCATATTATATACATATATATTATAAAATCAAGTATTAAATTTATTTTTGGTTATTCTATTATTAACAGATAAATTTCGCAAATATATAACTTTTACATAATAAATTTAATATTAAATTTTCTCACCAATAGCTGCAGGATTAGCCAAAAGAGATACTGTCTGTAATAAAATTAATGCAAACAAAACATTTTCGAAGCCTTGGAATTATTTGCATATTCTCAAGAAATAAAAAGTAGAAAAAATTGTATGTGCATACAAGGATATACTTATGTTTATATACATTTAATATTATTTATTTGTATGTTTTGCTTATTTTAAAAACGTCATTTTTGTTTATATTTATCAGTAACAAAATTTCTTATTTATCTGTATATAATTTACTAGTTTTTTCAAAATTTCATATTAAATATGTTTTAAACGCCTGAAGCGAAAGCTATTCAATGTCAATTTGTTTCAACTAATTTTAAAATTATTTAAAAAGTGAGTGTTTATGTAATCACATTTATAATTGACTAATGTAGCAATATAGTTTCAATAAATCTAAACTCGTGTAGAAGAATAAAATATATGAAAAATAATTTTAAATTAATGTCTTTGCTCCATGTAACGTGTTTTTTTTTCTATTTAAATTATTTATATAAGTAGAGTAATTTATATCAAGAAATTAAATTAATTGTAGTATCCAGTGTATTGTGTATTGAGATTTCGAATATTGTTGAGAAAATTGAAAAAAATTAAGGAAATTTTGTATTGATTATCTAAGAACAACGACAATTTATTTATCTACAAATAATGTGTACATTCACTAAAACACTACAAATTAATATCTTGGTCTCCTTTTTCTATTTACACAACACTCCGTGTAGTCTGGTTCTTCAAAGGCCTCGTAGTTTTTAACAGAAAAAGGATCGCGTTCCCTGCAGTGACCTTTCTCGAATTTAACATGCCTCCTCAACGCCAACCTCTTAACCCTTTTAAGAAGTTTCTTGCTTCTGTACCGGACGTCATCAAGAAATACTGAATAGCCGCACCTAAAAGAATATACGTTCCGCTAATGATACTGAGGAATTGAAGAATTGTTATTTTGTTTTTACTTTAGAAGTCTGAAATCGATAACTCTGGTCGCATGCAACACTCCGAAGAAGAAAAACAATGATAGTGCGTAGCTTGCAACTACGTTGGCCAGATCGCACTTCAATATTTGTAGAACACCGGAGGAAGTCCATCCACTCTGTTTGAGGATATCGTCTTCGAATTGGGCGATTTTTGGAAAGAATGCAAACATGCTCGCTTCCAACGGGAACCAGAAATCATTCATTATGTGTTCCATTAAGAAAGCCGATATGATAAACTGTGAAATAATACAAAATAATACAATTAATTCATATATATGTCAATGTTAGATGAATCTCACTTGGAAGAAGTACGCTCCGCAACGCCACAGCTTTCTGAGCGATGAGGGAAATAATCGCATATCCCATAGTAGCAGAAATACGGCAACGAGAAATATCAGACATGAAACGAGCGGCTCGCATCCAGGTTTTGTTGATTCGTGGAAAATGTAGATTCCACACGAATTTAGAATAAACGCCAAGAAAGTCGGGGCAAAGTAGCCCATATTACTACCATCACAATTGCATACCTCACATCGAGAATTTGGATATTGAAAATCTCCTTGACAAATGTCAGTACTAATTTTGTCGTTGTTTATTTTCGATTGCTTAGATTCAAATGCATCAATAATACAAACTTTTTTTTTTATTTATCCTTAATATCTTTATAACATTTTTTTTGGCTAAAGAGTATATTGTTCTTGAAAGATGGGAAAAATTTTGAGGACGGTATTCGAACTATATTGATGTAAAACTTGGGATGTCTTTTATTTCAGCAAAATGGATTTGAGAATCGTTAAGCCAGTGCGGAAGAATAGGAGACACGGAAATCGTGCCTTTTACCAAATGGACTGAATAATGCAGAAGCCACGTTGAAAGTGATTGTATTTTTTTTATTCATTGACCCAGTAAAAGAGTTTCGAACTATATAGTCTTACAATATTCATTTTAAAACAGATAAATATAAAATTTCAAGTTCATATGAAAGCTTTTTCTGTTTGATAATATGAGTGACATTGAAATTCGTGTTATGAATTATTTAATAAAATAGAGGAACATTAAAATTACGTAAAAAGAAAGATATGACGTTAATCTTGTACTGCATTTGACGTTTGAATTTAATTAACGTCGAGGTGGATGGAGCTACTCGAGTGAATGATTTCAGCGCTGAAATCTGAAGTGCTTTGGACCATTGTTCTCGGCGGATCCCCATGGCAACAGAGTGCCGATTTAATGCAACAAGTAGATTTCATCCCTAGTGACCTGAGCTATATTTCATTCTCTTCGTTTTACAAGCCATATAAATCTGCTTTTTCTATTGCATACAACGTTATAAATGAAGTAAATCTATTAAATTATGTAATAATCTCAAAATGTATTGATTATTATTATTATTGGGATCGTTTTATTACTAGATGGAAGGTCAAAATAAGGAAATAATATTATTATAATTGAAGGAAGTAAAGATCTAGCGAATGATTCGTTGACCTTCTTGAAAGTGAAACTTGTATTGCGATTATTCCACCTTTGTTTTGGGTCAAAACTGTTATGGGGCTTGGGAAATCCCTCCTTCGGAAACATTCATGACGCGTTATAATGAAACGTCTGTTGCTTCAGTTGTAAATTTCCTTTAATCTCTCAAGCAAAGCGTATATTATTATTATTTAAAAATTATGGATAGATTAACGAAACTAGTCAGCGTTGATATTGAAATCAAAGAAAAACGTTCTCATTTATCTGAACATTTGTTTATCAATCAAAACATTTATCATCAAAATGTTTATTTTTACTGTGACACGTGAAACGGAGAGACCAGTTTCTAGTATGGAAGTGGATCTGGTGAGCGGAATCTCCGTCTTGGCTCCAGCTACCGGGCATTGCAATTGATCGATTCCAGTTCGTTCCCCACTTCCACTTCTTCGTCAGAGGCGGCGGATTTAAAGCCAGCTTCTCATGGCCCTTGACACACTGTGCGTTTGATTGCCATTTGAACCAGTGAGTAATTTGGTGCAACTTTTATCTGTCTCTCTCTCTTCTTTTAATACCTTTCTGGTGGTGGACTAATCATGGCTTCTTCATCTTCCAATATCGAAGAACGTTTTAAAATAAATTCTGGTTAGTGGTGATGGTGACTAACTTCTATATGTAATAATTGTTATCCTTATATAAAATACACGTGAATATCTATTTCATTTACTAACTTAATATGTAAAAATAGAGTTACATTTTATTTACCTTTGTCTTAAAACTTTATACATATTTATTTAGATTAGTTATTTGAAAATTGAAAGCGAAAAGTATATATTAAAAAAACAAACTTATATAAAAATAATGAATGATTTATTCGCTAACACTATTTTCACATATTAATTTTAGTGTTGTGTTTTAATTAACAATTTGACTTTGCTTTACTTTGTATTGGATGAAAACTTGTGCACGGAGATGTGTAATTGAGTTTATCTTACCGTGCATGAAGCAAATTAAGTTTCAGCTATCGACTGTGTCTATAATATGTCCCCAACCAAATTCAATTTTCGTGCTTATTAAATGTTTCAGAGATGGAGTCGGCTCAATTTAAGGATTTCGCGAAGGAGATGATTGATTATGTATCAAATTATTTGGAGAATATAAGAGATAGGTAAATTAAACATTTTATATTTTTTACGTAAAATTCTATATTTTTCTTGAATATGTTTTTTTTTTAATATATTGACCTTGTCTAGTGCCATAGTTCAATGATTTTTTGCAGTATCAAGTTATTTAGATATACATTTTTATTAAAAGAAATATATTCAAAACACTATTTTTTGCAATCGAAATTTAAAATCCATAATTTGCGTTATTATATTAATGTTAGTAGGTTGTTTTAATTTGTTGTATATTTAATTTCTAGAATTTATCAAAGAAATACATAGTTATAAACTGTTTAACATAATCTATCTCAAATTAAAGAGAAAAAGACCATATTTATATGTACATAATATATGAAAGCCTTCAGTTCGAGGTCTTTGAGATTTCTGATTTCTAATTTGATAGAAATTTGTGTACTCCAAAATAGTTAAAGCAATTTAACTATTCGTTATATTAAGAACTAAATGTTTAAGTGATAATATTTTACTTAGTTTAGTAATATTATTGACAAAAACATACATGGTATTTCCATGTGGGTGTTATCGTTCTAGTTAATATTATCTTAAGAATTTCCATATAAATGTATTAGAATATGTGGATTGCATACAAATCGTACATTTAAAAGAAGACAGGAAAAACCAGTAATTATGATGTACAGATTTTTTTAATTTTTTTTTCACTGAAAAATGTATGGTTTAGGTTAAATTCCATTGCATTCCAGTAAATTTGATAATCGCTTATTAGAGTTGATTACAATGCAATTAATTGATCGTTGAACTTTGAGATAACTCTTAAACAATTTTATAGTTCGATTATCTGAATTTATTTGTTTTCAAATTTATAGATATAACTTAAAGCATGTGCAAGACTTTAGAACAGGAACATTATGCAAATGTTGTATAAAAAATGTTTTGAAGGACACTTTAATGACTGTTGAAATCTTTGAGTTTAAATCTGTCTGCAATTGTACGGATCTTTTGTGTGTTAACTAGATATAAATAAATTCATATTGTACAATTTATATTAATTCCGTTCCGCCACACGCTGTTGCGTATTTGCTATCGAATGGCACGATAAAGAATAGTAAAAGTAGTTTACTAGTTTACAAACATTGACCTATTAGTAATTGCACCATTGGGTGTCCGGTCAAGTTAAAAGAGACGTAAACTTGTTTGTAGCATATACATAATTGTTCTAATTGAAATGCAACTATTGTTTTAATTAGGAGAGTCTTGCCGTCGGTCGAACCAGGTTATTTGAGGCCGTTAATACCGGAGACGGCGCCGGAAAAACCAGATAATTGGGAAGATGTTATGAAAG